TATTATTATTTTTTTTTATACATAATTTATTTATATTCTATGCTTTAGTTTTAGAAACTTACCCCTCTTACGGGACATTTACTTTAAAATGTTTTATTTCTAGGGATTTCCTTGATTATGTAAACCGTTTTTAGACGTTGTTTTAAATGCCACTCAACATTTCTCTTAATTTTCCCCTATAGTAAATGAATGAGAAACCTAGATAGTTGTGTTTGACATATTTTCTTTGTTGGTAAAATAAATCTTATTTGGAGTCTCAAGTCTATTTTTTGCAACAGAACTGCATCTTCCAAATTTCCATAGCTAAATATTAGTGTATTTTACTTGATTTTGTCATTTACATGCTTAAGAGTATGAATGAAGTAACATGTTTTGTAATCTTTCAGAAAAAATCGTGTAAACAGGCGATTGATAAATTTGAAGAGGCGGTGAAGGTCGAGAGATGGGGGAGGAGTAAAGAGTTTCATTTGGCTGTGGTCTAATTTTTTTGTGGACCTCACTTTCTTCTTTTCTTTCTTTTGTACGTCATGCAACGCTGTATGTTTTATAAATGTTACCTTGATGATATTTGTATGTCACGCCACCTGTTGAAATTGACCATATACACATTCTACCTTTTATACTATTTATTTTAAAATGATCTTAATTAAAAACTCTCCTATGGCCCCTGTAAAATGTTTAAGCGAAATTTTACAAGTCTTATGTCTTGTTCTTTAAGTCTTTTTGTTTGTATGTCTGTTAATTATTAAAAAAAACTGAAGAAAAAAAAAAAGATCTTGTACCTGTAACAAGAGTTTCTTGGGAATGGGAAAACCTGGAAATATCAGAATTTTCAGGTCAGGAGAAGTCAATAGTAGTTATTAAGATAATGGCAGCTCAGCTCTAAAATATTACATTGTCTAAATTGCTCTTATAGTGAGACTAAAAATCTTGGGAAATCAGTGTGAAAAGACTTGTATTTACAAATAGATACATACTTGTATGCATTTGATATGTTTTGTTGCAATTGCTTTTCGTATTTTCATGTAATTGTGTTTTATTATTACAAAAAGGATGGATGGTTGAATAATGTCATGAAGGGTGTTGGTTATGCACTGTACGTCATGTTTCCTCTGTACCAGTCATGCGTAATCTTGCGCTGTTGGTTGGACACGGACTGCACACACCGGTGAGGAATAAATGTCCAAGCAACCCACCTTTTTTCTTAACACCACAAACTTTTCTAGTAATAACATCTTTCATGTTGGATGCATCTTGGACGGACAGCCAGCATCACTTGTTCCAGCTGTTGGGCAGCGCGCGTGATTTATTCCATGAGCGCCTTCTGTTCAGTATCTGATCGCGTCGGTATGGTATGGTTTTCAGCTTAGTTTTTTTTGGGGTTGTCCTGAAGCGGAGTCGCATATATTCGGACCGATATGAAAATTACATACGGTTTCGTGGTCGTCGGCGGGGGTTTAACGGGTGTTCTCAGTTTCATCTCTTTAGCGCTTGCCATTGGAACTGAATACTGGTACATCATCGAGGACAAGCGCACGAACCACACCGACTCGGCGCGCACTAACTCTGGACTTTGGGGTGTTACAGATGGTATGACGCTTAATTTTCATTCTCAAGTCTTTACTCGTCAGGATCTGTGAGTTGCCTCTGATCATAGTCCGATTATTTTATTCATTGGTAATATCTTGGGCTTTAACTGGTGTGCGTAGCCTACTGTTCATTTGACCAATGGATTTCCAGGACTTTTCCTGGCATAGTTGGATAAGTATTAAAATCATTTAATAGAGATTGCACCCACAATACAACATCTAGCCCAATAATACGTTTAAAACTGACCATTTAAATTACATATAAAATAAATTCTGTATTTAAATCTCTGTAACTTTCTTGGCGCACTGAAGGTTCGTCTTATGCAAGTGCAACCCAAATTGCAATTTGGCGCCTCAGCTATCTGAAACACCTTTTAAACAACACACTAGCTACTTTTCAGTTATATTTGTGATGTGTAATTTTTATCGATGTACGATCTTACAGTCACTGATCGAGCAGCTGTTGCTATGGTTGCCTCACGCAAAATCGAATTTTGTTAGTTCTGCGCAGAAATGTGGCGCTATGTAGGCTAGACCTTATTATTTGGTCACTGAAACGTTGTTTGAAAACAAGGTTTCGAGCTTTACAAGAATTGTGGTCATAATTTTCACCCTGGTGATTTGCTTGTGTTTTTGTAGATGTCCAAAGTCACACAGAAGACACTGGATATTCAGAATCAGAAAGGCAGATGGAAAGTGAGTGTTGTAAACCCTTTTCATAAACACAACAACCTTAACTCCATATAAAAACTGCTTATTGTGCTGCAGTGTTCCATCATGAAATAAATCAGGCTATAAATGTATCACTGAGCCATAATTGTGTGCATTTGTATGGATAAGATGTTAGGTGTTGTTTTTATAAGCCATTTCTGTGTAGCTTAACAGCTATGATTTACTTCATTCAGTCATGCATAGCGTGATTGCCATCTTGCTGCCCTTGAGTCTGGTGATGCTGGTGTTTGGAGGTATCTGTGGCCTCGTCAGTTCCCTGGCCAGAAGCCGGACATTCCTGATCGGATCCGCTTCATATTTCCTCCTGTGCAGTAAGTTTGACCCAATTAATGCCATGGTTAACTCCGTAAACCTCTACTGTTATAAAATCAAAGATACCAGTTTATATGTTGCCTGCAAAAAAAAGTTTGTCAGCAGAAAACAGAAACTTCTGAAATGCATTCATGGGTGAACATATACAATACAATTCATAGCTTTCAGTCACATGACCGACTCGAAGACCCAGAGGGCAAAACATCCATAGAACTGCAGCACAAATCTGTCAATTTTCCATCTGTTTCCAAGCCGCAAATATTTAAATCACCCCTCAAAAGAATAAAACAAAGATATGTCAACAAAATGCAAGTTTTGGCCATTTGAAATCCAAAACTATATGCAATATTTCAATCACTAAACAGCGCAACAAAACGTAGTGAAAAACACTTAGTGCCTTAATGTATTCAAAACCTTATTGATTATGCTTACTTTATATAGGCAAGCAGATGAGCCCATAAAATGAACGTAATGCGCTAAATGGTTCCATGTTTTCTTTATAATGGTTTTCTATGGGAAACCATTTAATGTGAAACTTTGCACGTTGCGTTTATGTTCTGGGTTCATCTGCTTGCCTGTACAATCCATCATCAGTAAGGTGTGTATTGAATTTCGCCTTTTAATATCAGCATTTTAAATCTACATTACTACTTAATGCAAACCGCATAAAAATAACTGGCGGTCAATGGAGCAAAGCCTCGTTTTGTCCTCCAGTTGGGCGTTCCTATAAGGGTGTGACGTCACGTGAAAACTATCAAAACAATACAATTTGTAATTCCTTTTGAAAATAGTCTGGAATGTCCTTCCCTTGTCTCCACTACTTTTTGAAAGCTATTGTTCTGTTAAATTAGCTTGCGATAGGGTTGTTTCACATAAATACAATCCTAATTAAATGATATATACATTCACTTGTCGCCACCTACTGGAGTAGCATATTTATTTTTCACCACCACTAATGGCTATAAAGTTAAATTCTCTGTAGAAAAAAGGAATTGCCGAAATTGAGATAAAAGTGACCATGCTCATACAACACAATATTTACAATAATTACCACACAGTACGAAGGAAATAACTATAGCTGTTGGCTTCCAACGAAGAGCAAGCAATAGAAGCCTCCGCTTGCTGGTTGCTTCGGCAGTGGGCGGGACTAACGCACAAGCTCTAATCCCATTGGCTAGTGCTCACCTTGCGTAATTTTTAACGTGTTATTAATCTCAGGCAAATTCAACTTTTGTCTGCAAACTGATGGGGTACAAGACAGATAAACACAGTTCAAGTTCAAACAGTTGGCTCTGCAGTTCTCTGAATGACATTCAAAAACTGGAAGACTGAAGGCATTACTCACCTGGAATAATTGTAATGTCAGAGTCTTATGGGACTGAAGTTATTGCGGTTCATCGTTTTCCTCTCATGAAATTGATAGGATAATAGAGAACATTCCCCCAGCTATTTCTGTGATTGAAATGGGCAATCTTAAGGTGAAAGGGAAAGGTGAAACCAAAAAATATCTGGGTAGATTTATGTAAGGAATAATACAGCCCTCAGTAATTCTGACCATGCATCAGTCTCTCATTTAAATGTGATTTTATTGCTTTTGTTCTTCCATGAACGCATGCATGAGCAGAAGAAAATAAAACAGAATAATAATGCATGCTGAGTACAACCAGAGCTCATTTCCTGAGACCCCTGCAAGAAATCCCAAAGCAACTTAAGTATCACAGGCAGGAGAATTTTGCTTTGATCTTCAAAAATACACACATAGTCATTGTTGAGACATAGCTGGCTTGCTCTTTACCCCGACACCAAACAGCATCTCAAAGCCTGTATCTGAGAGTGTCCTCTCACTATGTAGCCTGAAGACATATGACTTGAATAAAGGTTTCCTTAAAGGAGTCAGCCAATGAACCCCAGCATTTATCACCGTAGTAATAAGGAGCGCATGGCAAGTGTTTAACACAGTGAAGCTTGGAATGTAAATGCAAGGGTAAAATTGTGGCGTCTGCCTTGTTACTTACTTATATTGTCTTTATTTTTTTGGCATGTCCTCTGTTTTTTGGATTGGTTATCACAGACAAGAATGTAGGCTATAGTAAAATACGGATTCAATTTTGAAGGAATATTTTTACATGAGAGAATTTCACATGGACTGTATTTCGTTCTTCCTCTCATAAGATGGTGCTTTTAAAGTAATCGTTCACCCAAAAATTTAAATTGGCTGAAAATGTACTTACATTCAGGCCATCCAAGATGTAGATCAGTTGGTTTCTTCATTTGGAGAAATATACATTACATCACTTGCTCACCAGTGGATCCTCTGAAGTGAATGGGTGCCGTCAGAATGAGAGTCCAAACAGCTGATAAGTAAGATCAGGAAGCGTTATTATAAATTATGTACTTGTATTTTGGCCAGAAGCGACAGTATAAAGTTAAAAACACGATGGATTTGTTTATTATACGGAGCTTTTCACTTCAGAGGATGTTAATTTATGGACTAGAGTTCTGTGGATTATTGTGATGATTATTGTGATGCTTTTATAATTTGTTCAATGTTCATTTTTGAATGAACTACTCCTTTCAGAATATCAGTGCATCTATTCACCAGGCTGTGATTTGTGACACACACAGTGCTGTATAAAATAATCAGTAGTTCCTGGATAGTACAAACTGTTTGTTCTAAATGAACCGACAAATGTAAGATTAGAAACAAGTCAGTTTGTTCCTGTCTAGACTCTTGGCCATGCTAATTAGAAACTGTGTTACTCTCTCTGTTTATTGGCTCTTCATTTTATGTGCATATTATGGCTGATGTGGAAATCCATTCTCATTTTGTCAGTGTTTAATTAGATGTGATTTCTGCTGCTGTTTATCCACATCGGCACATTCTGTTTTAATGAAGATTTGGTAATAATGGCTCAGGTCTTGGAATCATCAGGCACTGCAGGGTGCCACAGGAAGCTAGTTTGACTTCCTCCCTGTTTACATTGCTGATGCTTCTCTTAATTCTGAGAGCAGATGTCATAGACTAGTCATGTGTGTTTATGGCTCTCTGCGCTTACAGTAAGAGCATAGTTTAGGGAGATGTTCAGCAAGAGCATCGTTCAGCTCTGGTTCAGTTGATTACAGAAAAACGTTTTTGGCAGCTCAAAATATGGGTTTATTAAAATAAATTACTTGCATAATGCAAACATTAAACTGGGAGCTTTATTAGTAAAATATGAGCTTGAATGAGTGAGGATAAGATCACTGGATCCAGGCAATTTAGCACAATTGCAAAAAATGTTACCGTCATTTAACAACTGAAGCAGAACCTTACTGTTAAAGTCATATGATGCAATTTCAATTTTTCCTTTCTCTTTGGAGTGTTACAAGCTCTTGGTGCATAAAGAAGATATGTAAAGTTGCAAAGACTAAAGTCTCAAATCCAAAGAGATATTCTTTATAAAAGTTAAGAGTCAACCACGCCTACCTAAAACGGCTCG